GCGTCACAATCCGTATAAAGCCAGAAGTTTTTCGAGATGAAAAGCGAGGGAAACAGAATGCTGCCGGTGATTAGTTTGATGACTATTTCACCATGGGCAGATAGCACAAAAACTATTTCACGGTAGATGCTGTTTGGAAAAGATAGCATGTTTATTCGTCATGTTTTTATATTGAACAAATTCACAGAAGTATAATAAACAGTGTTATTTTCGCCGTTTTACACTTTCTAACAATTTTGCCCCGTTTCAAATTCGCCAAGTCACAGTTCTGTTTAAGAATTTATACTGTGTTCTTTGAATTCACCCCGTTTTAAATTCACCCACTTTTAACAAGGCCGAATGGGGGCAAAAATAAAACTGCAGCGAATATTTCCCTGTATATAGTATTCAACTCACAACCAGTGGATATTCGTTTTATGATACTGCTGTATGTCATAATATCTGAGTTTAAATTTTCTGATACAGTTTGTAATCTAAGCATGAAAAAAAGCTTCACTAAAAACCTCATAGTCATGAGAATTTATCATTCTATACATTCAACACAGGATATGAAAATTGGCTGTAATTCTAGAGAATTTTCCCAGAAGTGGGGGAAAAAACTAGTATCCGATGGTAGACCTTTGCTTTGCATGGAGATTATAGACTTAAAAGACGTTTACCTTCTTGAGTTCTATAAGAAAAGTTTCAACAGCAGTATACTTATGTTTGTAATACATTTCATTAAAAAAATTCTATAAACTTAAATAATATTTCATTCGTTAAGTTTTTTGACTCATCCATCAATGTAGATTTAAAAAGCAATATCCGTTGTAAAAAGCTAACACTCATGAAATATTATGACCATAAGTTTAATTGAGAGATTTATTTTCTCATCAAACCCTGTATATTTCGAAACTTTTAGTATTTCCTTCGAACAAGATCCCGGTTGAAAGTCCTTTTCACTCCTGTCTTGGGTTTAAAAAAACAAACATTTATATCGATTATTAAGGTGGATAAGAGGATAAGCATACTATACCTGTTTCACAGTTAGCTCCAATGTATCCAGCTATACAATCAATACATTGTCTAGTTTGATTGTGGCATGAGTTATTCAAGCAGTTCTTCGGACACTTTTTACAGTTAACTCCATAAAGACCAAATTCACAACCTTCATGTAATCAGAATATACAAAAGGCTGAAGTGAGCTAATAAACACTATCAACAATAAATATCAAATCATATCAAATCGATAACGTCTCTACTCTTGATGCTTAAAGACCACTAAAATAAAATTTTCGTTTATTATTTGTAAGAGTTCGTCCACTGACATAGTTTGCAAGCTTATGTTACGTTTGTACAAAACATCTGGTAAGACTTGTATAAAGAGATACGTACATATATAAATTTCTGAACGCACACTCAGTTCAGTTTCAAACATAAAGATAAAGTAGAGACTTACTTCTTTCATTTATTATAAGATAAAAATTTCAGAACCTTTACTTTTCAATTATCAAGGAAAATAAAGCATATGATAGTTTTAAGGCTATTATGAGATGCATTTATTTTTAAAAATTGAATATTTTTGTCATACAAAAACTTCAACTTTGTCCCTTTTCTTTTCTTATTGTTAATGATTTTTACACTTTTTTTCAACTGCAGCATTTAGGTATTTCTTTCAAATGAAAAGGAAAGATCAAAATTGTAAATTAGTGTATATTATATTCTTTATAATTATGCAGATGATTTGAGAATTTGAATCTGTAAATGACCTAAGAAAGACGTTTACCTTCCACATCAATTTCACAAATATTAATGTATGAAAACTCGGAAATACCTGGAAATGAAGTCATGTTCCTTGTGTTGTAAACAGTGACGTAACGACCGGATGTGACACAGTCTACTGTGACCTCATTAGGTGGTATTTGTTGTATGTCGTGATGATAGCAGCGAGTGCCTAACCTCCAGTCTTCTGTATCTGATACAAACACAGAAAATCCAGACAGCGTGCTGCCTTCTGTATATGAAGATAGGTGCATCATTTCATTTAATAGTTATTAGTTTAAAAGATACTGAGTAGTCTTGCCCACATCATTTTTCATTACAAATTTACATGATAAAATTAGAATAAAATAAGGCTTGCCCCAAAATTTTGTAGCAAATGGAGATTTTAAAATAAATATTTCTCATGATAATAAAACTGTCATGATAATATCAGTAATAACTGTAAGAAGGTCGATATTACATGTATCTGTTGGAGCACCAGGACAATCCAGAAATATTTACGCAACAAAATATGGCAATCGCATTTGCCTCTCTGTTGATATCTAGAACAAAACTTCAAAGTTATTTTTTAGGAATTCCTACGTCAAGATAGGTTTTCCAGTCTAAAATACTCCAAGAGATGCTAAAAAGATGCATGTTAAGCACACGGAACAGAACTTTTGACCAACATCTTAACAAAGTCCTATCTTTTGTTTACTAGGATGTAAAAAAAAGTGACGTCCCTTTATTAAAATTTTGTAATTTACAACGATGTTTACAATGAGGCCATAGGATTCACGGAGTAATCACTTGAAGTTTTGTGACATGACAACCAGATTTCAAAACTTTAATTTTTTCAGAATAGTAGAAACTTAGATTTCTTTAGACTTTCCTCGTCTTCTTTCTACGTTGAAATTGAATATGTATATCATGATATTTTTCTTGTATAATGTGTTTTGTGCTTTTGGATTTCAGTGAAAACTTAAAATAAATGTCTGCGTGACTAATGGGGAACCGGAGTGAGTTATCTTATCTTGCACCGTGAGAGGTCGCCACAGGAAAATACGGTCCAACACAAAACAGCTGATAATGGCATCTCTTCATCTTATCAGTATCAGTATTCTTAAAGAAAGCGAACGTGTTTTATATTGTCTTAAGTGGAAATTCATTACAATGGCAACTAATTTTGGTTCAATGACTATTCCTGAATTACGAAAGGAACTCGAAAAATTTGGTGCAAAAAAATCGGGACGAAAAAGAGAGCTTGTAGAAAGGTATGTACGCAACATAACAATGTTTTACATAGCAATGATTCGTGTTTTACTTAAAATACTGACTTGATTATTCAATTCAGCAAGAAGTAAGGAAGATGTAATATAGAAAAGACAATTATTGAATTCAGTTGATAATTTTACGCGACAAAATGTATTGCTGAACTTAACTAGCTGGTTTAACGATATAACCCGAATTTCCTAGGCATTTTTTCTACGGGGCATAAATTAAAAATATACGTAATATTTTATGATTTTCTGGCAATTTTTCAAATATATGCCTCTCTGAAATATATTTTAAAAACAATGGTTAACCTGGTTAATTTTTTTTTGTAGAAAAATAGTCAAATAGGCACATGATATGTATCAATGTTATACACCAGCTTATTTGTTTTTATACAGGCTTGAGGCATACACACGCAATGCTCACTGCTCCAGGACAGACCTTACTGCTGCTCAAGATTATGTGATGGTCCTACCTGATCCTCAAAAATATGAAGATCTGAACAGTGACAAGAATTTTCCTGGGTGCAATATGGATAATATTACAACATACTTGGCACAGTTCAATAAAAATTTAGAATCCAAAGCGAAGAATTTGTACAACGATGGATTTATCAAGTACATCCGTACCACTGAAAACAATGCCCTATGGTATGTTAGGAGTGCCATTAGAGCAGAGATGTCAAAGTCTGTAGTTTATACTATAGATATTGTAATGGAAAATGATGGCAATATTGCAGAATGTCAGTGTGAGTGTGCAGCAGGAATGGGACCTCTAGCACACTGTAAACATATATGCACAGCACTGTTTGCATGCCTTTCATTCAAAACACACGGATCTGTGAAAACCGAACAAACATGCACACAAAGGCTGCAAACGTTTCATAGAGTGAGGCCACATAGAGGAACCCCTATGAAAGCGGATAACCTGGACATGCCTGGATGTGATGAAATTTGTAATTTCGCAGATGGATTTGATCCTAGGCCAGTCGAGTATAGGAATAATCTAGGATACAAGTCTTACTTCCAGAATGTATGCCTTTCATATCCAGGAGTAAGCAAGACCCCTATATTTCAAACTTTCCCTCCAGCAAACATGAGGGGCATTGATGTGGACCATGACTACTTTTCTCTTCAAGGAAGCTATGCGTATTTAAATGAAATAAATGTTTCACAGATTACAGAAGAAGAAGCACGAATTCTGAATTTAAATACAGCAAAACAGGCTGCATGCAATATGTGGCATGAAGAAAGATGCAAGCGTCTGCACGCTTCTGTGTTTGGCAGAATTTGCAAAATGACTGATAGAACAGACAAAGTAAAATTAGCAGAGACACTTGTTACGAAACAACGCAAACTTCATTCTGCACCGATTCTCCATGGTCAAAAGTTTAAAAAAGTTGCCATAAAAAAATTCCAAGACATTACTGGACATACAGTGTATGACACAGGAATATGTGTAAGCCTTACAAATCCGTATTTGGCCGCTTCACCGGATGGAATCATCGACGAAGACACTGTTGTGGAAGTGAAGTGCCCTTATGTTGCAAGGAACGAAATGATCTCCAGACAGACAGTCCCATACATAAGACAAAATGACGGCAAATTTTCATTGGACAAAAACCATGATTATTACTATCAAGTTCAGGGACAACTTTTTTGTGCAGAGAAAAAAATATGTTACTTTATTGTATATACATTCAACGATATTTTATTTTTCCCAATTCAAAGAAATGATAATTTTATTTCAGAGATGATAAGAAAACTGAATATTTTCTATGAAAATCATTTCAGGACTGCTGTTCTAGAAAAAAATTATTTCAAATCTTATGAAGACTGTCATTGTTCAAAATAAATTTGAGAGATTAAGATGCATTCAATTTTTTTTTCAATTTTATTGTTACAATGATGCACCAAGTTTGAAAAGCCAACATCAAATATAAAACCCAATATTGTATATATGTAATGAAAATAATTTATTTACTTTACTATGCATATGATGGGACAATACAAGTTTTAAAATTGCATAACATAAAACACACAAAAGTTATATGTGAGGACAGCTTTGTCTCTGAGCTATTCATAGGTTCAGTTAAAATTTTAAAAGTTTTAGCAAGACCAATGATTCGCTCAATATGCACCCTTTTGATTGAAATTTTTCTGTCTTGAACTACAGATGCACGAGACATTCTATTCTTTTTCTTAAAAAATGTAGGTGTGTTTATCTGAATATTTCTATGAACAAACATGTCTTGCACATTGAATCCTTTATCAGCCATGATAGAGTCACCAGGATCACACAAATTCAACAAACTGCTACGTTCCACTATTTGTCTGTCGCTTGTAGAACCACCATATGCAGAAGATACATAAGAAACTAAGCCGCCAGGGGTTGCACCAACCAGAATTTTCACTGTGTTCTTATTTTTATATGTTGAGAACGTAGCTTGCTGGGATTTTGGTTGTTTTGGCTTCTTGATAGGACACTCCGTTCCATCAACTAGCACTCGAGTCTTAGGAAACTTTAGTTTAAAATCAGAGGGACAAAAATATTTCACAAGGGATTTAGGTGGCCATATGTCAACTTCTCTCCACTGTTTGGACATGAATAGAATCCAAGTATAGAATATATTCGATACAGTTTTTTCCGAAATACTGAATAATCTTGACAATTCAAAATTAGTTCTGTGTCGCCTCAATTTGATGAGAACAAGAAAAAATTGATCTGGGACACTGATATTTGTGACTTGGTGATATACATAATTTAAACAATAAGCTGCAGGACCTAAAGTTCTTAATACAAAATAAAATTTAGAGATTGTTTCCAAACCAGTGTAAAAATGAATACCAGCATAATCCTTTTCAAAGTTATCAATACACATTGGGGGAAATGTTGGCGTTTGTGTTCCTACATTTTGACGAACTGTTTGCTGATCATCATGTTGACTCGAGATATTTTCATTAAGACTACTGCTGTAATCACTGATAGTTTCCTCTACAATATTAATGTCATCAAAAAATACTTCTTCTGAACTTTGACTTGTAGATGCAATATCTTCTATTAATTTTCTTTTGACACCCCTTGTCCTAGCTCTGTCAGCTCTAGCAAGTACAGCTGGGCTTGTTGGATCTGCCCATTGGAAAAGGCTGGGTATTGCTGTTTTCCGTAACCTCTTACTTAAAGGTGTATTTCCTGAAAATAATATTGATATTTTTAAGCAAAAAATAAATATTTCAAAGTTTTTATCCTTTCAGTATCGAAAACATTTAATGATTAATATGAACATGTGTATTTGTAAAAAAAAAAAAATTTACATATAAGTGACTTAAGTAAGTTAGACTGAAGATGCTAATATATCTTTGTTTGATAATCAGTTTAGAGGATAAGACTAATATGTAATTAGCAAATGCAGTAGAAGACTTCATTAACAACAGGTGGTCTCATTGAACAGAGAAATTTACGATGCCAGATGTTTACACAGGGCAGTTGTTTACGAATGTATGGCATGTTTCCGATAGTGCAAATCAGCGGGGTGTACTGGCTTGGCATTTGATGTCAAGAGCTGTTGTTTACGATCATATATATAATTTAACTATTTTTGGTTCATGAGAAATGAAAAACATAAATAAAAGAATTACGGGAGTTTACTGAAAAAAAATAATAAAACCTCAAAAATGTAATCCGCGAAATCTAACATTTTATATATTCTATGCTTTAATTTTATCGATTTCATACCTACATTTTTAACATTTTATCTAAACTAATCTTCTGCATTATAAATTTATGTAAAATGAACTGATTTGTGATAATATTAAGAAATACACAAGATTTTTAAAGAATTTTACCGTGAACAGTCTCTGCTAAATAATCGCTTTCTTTGAAATGCGATCTGCACACAACGGCATAGGCAGAAGGTTCCCAGCTCTGGAAACGTGTTTCCCCTCGTCTAATTGCATGAATCCATGATTTTCGTCTCGTTTGATCTGATGGGAAAGCATGTCCACCTCTATTACTACAACCAGGTACGCAACAGCAAGTCTCCGGCATGTTTCACGTGTGCATATGACAGCGATTTGTTTATATGTGCTATGGTAAAATCGTAATGATAATGCGCGAGCTAGTTCCGAAGGGGACCGCATTTTTCTGTGGCGCCATCTAAGGGAAAGATAACCAGCGCCGGAAAACCATTGATCAAGTATGGAAGTAGTGTAATTCATATAGTCGTAAAGTAAAGTTTCCATTTGAAATCCTTTTTGTTTTTGGACGTGTATATATTATTCACAGCAGCATCTAGAAACATTTTAGTTTGATTTAGAATCTTTCCTGCCCGCACACATAAGTTTTTAGTAGTGCAGTGCTAAAATACGTTCAATAACCTTCCAACTTTTGCCTTTTTTTAACGCCTTGATCATTTAAAAATGACTATAAAACAGTCATAAACCCTCTAATTTCATTCAAAAATTCTCCAAGTGACGTTTATTGAATACTTTAGCGAGAGGTAAAATATAATAAATCTTTCTAAGCAAAAATTGTGCATTTTAAAGTAAAAGGTCTATATAATTAATGTGCGAAGCGTGGCTAGCTCCCTGAAGTCAGTTTTATAAAAATATCATCGCTGTATATTTTTTATGATAGATAGGACGTCCTTCAGTACCAAATTTTCTACTTATAATGCATTACCCTTATTTTACTTTGCCCTAAGTTGAAGGGGATCAGCCTTCAATGAACATTTTAAATAGTAAAAAGTTATGACTTCATAGAAAGTTGGGGGCAGGCCCCCCCCAACCCCCCACTCTGTTGCTACGTGCCTGATAAGTTTCCTGTCTACAATATTTTAAAATCTTTTGACAACCTTCCTATCGCCCCAATCGCCATTGCAGCGATAAAAGATAATAATTTTGTTTAAAAATCCTCAAAGAAGAAGGTATAGTTTCCATACAAACTTTGCCCTGTTATTTTCTTAAAAATGAAACTGGTGTAAAAGTTGAAAACTCATGCTTTTTAAATAATTGAAATTCAATGCAGAAATATCATACAAATTATTTTTCTCACATGTGTTTTTAAATGCTAATTATGACGTCATAAACATGTGCATTTTCCCGCATTTTCTTAAAAAGTTGCAGAAGACACCAATTTTCAACAGAATTTTCTTTCAGATAACATTGTCCACAGGCATCGCCCACAAAGATCTTGAGATATGTGATTTGTTATTGAATTTTGCACAAAATATCAGAAAAGTTAACGTGGGCTACGGCTGTGGACACTGTTTTTAAAAGGAAAATCACCCTTGAAATGTGCAATTTTGAAGCTTTTTCTGTTGAAAATAGAGAAATGCTTCACATTTATGACGTCATATTTGCAGAATGGTAAACCTTCATGCCATATTCTTTCTTGATTTATCAGAGTCATTTATTTAACTAATATTTAAGCCAGTTTCAAAACTCTTTGATATCATTACATTTTTAGAGCGGAATAAAGCTAAAACCATACCTTCTTCTTTCATGTCAACATCTACTCCATTGCACGAGCCTTACTTTTACATGTAACAGCTACAGCTGATCTTGATGGACAGCCGGAGGATCCTTTTGAACATTTATTTATGTTAACTTCATTGCCTGCATAGTTCAAGACATTTTCATAAAAGTAGGTCGAAGAGGAATCTACAGCTGTGTTATATAATGGATAATCTCTACAATTGTTAAACGATACTTTAATATGAGATCATATTTATTTAGAAAGAAAATATGAAAGAAAAATATCAAACCTTAGAAACATCATTATTGATATGATAAATACTTAATGTCATACGCAACGTAGTTTGAACTTTTTACGGCTCTTCCACGCAGCTGAAGAGTTTCAAAAGACAAAGGATCTGTGTGCAATACATTTGATGTCTATAAATGGATTTGTACACCTCTTCTAAAACAAATTTTGATGGAAAAAAAAATCTGCAATTGATGTTTCGTAATTTTTATTTATTTTTCTTTCAATAATGAAAAAAAAATTCATAATTTAATATCTTCCAAAAATCCTGGTACTGCATGCTGATTTTTTGTTTATGAACATCTGATGGCACTATAATCTTAAATTGAGAAAATCATTAAAAAGTATCAGTAGATAAGCTTTTAAGGTACCTTGCGTATGTCCTTAAATAATTATTCCAAAGGGGATTGTTTTTTTATGTTATCTAAAATAAGTATTTACAATATTAAAAAAACGAATAAATACAAATACAATGTCTGGTTTAACTTTTAGGCTTTCTACAAGCATTGCGAACTGATGCATCATTTTAAAACTGAATTAATAATTTATATATTTGAAAGAAAATAAGAACTCATATTTAAATGTGCATGGACACAGATTTGAAGTTAATAATTTCTGTATAATATTACGACATATATCTTTTAATAGCATTTTATACAAATATAAATTAAAAATTTTATTTCATCTAAAAGTTATTGAAATTTCAAATTTTTGAACATATCCTTGGACTCTCACAAATTTTACTTTTTTAAAATATTTTAAATGCTTTTAAAATATATAAGTAGTAATATTATACAGAAAAAAATTAACTTCAAATCTGTGTTCATGAAACTTTAAGAAAATAAAAGACACATTCTTTACATATACGGCAGTGTATATCATTTAATGATGGAATAATACATGCACATGCACCTATAAATATCTCTCGTTTAATTTTAAGTTGATATTAATTATTTTTACATGTAATAACCAACCATAATGACTTATTTTTATTCGAACAAAACCTTAAAAATTCCATTGACTGCTCTTAATTATCATAATCAGGATGAACAATATTATGGATCTTTCAAATTATAGTCAAGTCTATATACTTACGTTAGAAATTCCCAAGCCAAGCAAACAACCTTGGCATCCTTTTCATCAAAGCTATCGTTACAAATCCTACTTAATGGACTAGCAAACACAGTTCCGTCTCCATTGGAATAAGGAAAGAGACCAGAGTCAGATGTTCTTAGTGATGATGCACCTAGACCAACTTAAAATGGCATATTCCGGTGAATATTTAAGAATTATTATATGATGACAGATTTCAAACTAATCAAGATACTTTTTATACAACATTGCAAACAGGGTCGGGGCCAATGAAATGTATAGTTAACTATTTTCACATACATTGATCATTAATGTTTCCAAATGTGATGCAATATTTCAATTATATTGTGCTTTTACAGTATGTTTTTAATTTATTTTTATTATCAATAAATATCATTCGGACAACATCACTCAGGTTGAACAATTTTTAACAACCTGTACATGTACTACTTAATTCATTTGTTCGGTTCTAAGCAAGATTTTTTTTCTATGATCCTGGGACCCTGGGTTCACACCTGGTATTGCTTTTGGCAGTGCGTCATACTTATAAACAAATAATTTAACATTATGAGACATTTTAATATGGCATAAATTCAAGCTCAGGCCAAACAGATATGCAAACAAATCGAAATAACGAAATTAATTCAATATCAAAAGTCCATTAAACAATACAAAATAGGAGCAGGGAAACACGGATCTCCAAAACATCGGAGGTGGGATCAGGTGCCATGGAGGAGTGATTATCCTCTGTCGACCGGTAACACCTGTTCTGTCCTTCTTGTCATGATCGGATACCGATTTACAATTAGTATGACTGATTGATTGTATATTGTTACACGTCCCACTCGAGAATGTTTCACTCACACGGAGACTCCACACTTGCCAATGGAGAGCTGCAAATTTTATCCTACACTAACAATTAGACCATAAAGCAGAGAGGGGTCTTTTCCGTGCCAGCACCTACTGAAACACGGAAACCCGAATTTTACAATCTCATCCGAAAGGCCCGTTATCCACGAAATTGGCATGAAAAACGCTAGTCAGCATTTGACTCAATGATAAATTGTATATGCTGATGGTCCTTGTATCGACATTGGATTGAATAACATGTAATGACTTTAAACTAGGCCGCTGATATTGTCTTTACATCAACTTGTTTGTCATTGATTTACCTCGTTTTAGAAATTGTTCATTCATGAACATAGAGCATGCCCTTGCGTATCGAATCAAATGATATATATATATATATATATATAGATTTAATGACATCTTAACTCGAAGAAAAAGGTATTTTTGGAGTGTTTTAAAATACTTAAATTATTTTCTATTGACAGCAAATTCAATTATAAATACTTCCAATTACTTTCATAAAATTTGATGAATTACACTCAGTTATGATTACTTTTTTAGTACCCCATCCCTGAATACATTGTGTTGATATTATCATACAGGCATTCTTTGTCAAATGCTTGACTCTCTTAGACTTGTATACACTTTTAAAAGACAGATGATACAAACTTTTGTCTAAAAATTAGAAAATAACAACTCGGGTCATGTTTAAATGCTTAAAATGAATAACATTCCCCACATAGTTTTTAATTTTTCATTAAATTTTTCACAAAAAATTGAATTTAATGTAAATTTTGTTTATACATTCAAGGATGGTTTCAGAAGGACAGGCTTTTTAACATCACAGAAAGTTTACAATTTCTTTATATTCTAGAAATTTATTATTTGCTTCATTAGCAAAGAAATTATGTCAAAAAAAATATTATAATCCAGGCATCCACTTTTTATTTGTATCATCTGTCCTTAATGATGTTCCCAAAAAACTGACTGAAAGCTTGCCAATTTTACGAACATTAAATATTCATACATGTATAACATCCACCAATATATTGTGTTAGTTATATGAAATAAGAATAGCATAACACATATATCTGAATGCTTACAACCCCCATGTAAGATTGATATCGATGCTATATTTTTCTTATCTCCTCTTGACCGGATGCTGTCAGTACGCAGTCAAGTAGGTATCTACTTCTGTCTCCGTCCACGGCTTTACTTGGTGAAAAGTATCCATAATTATATCTACTACTGATCGCCACATTTCTCTCAAAAGCGAGATTTTCTTTAAAAAAAAAATATGTAATTTCCTTTGAAACGATGTTCTAATTCATTAGAGATTCTAGCATCTGTAACTTCACTACAATTGAGATAGTATTTCGCAAATATGTTTAAATAACTTACCGTACTATTGAGTATTATCGATAAATTGGTATAAAACAAGTAATATATATATAATATTGTTGACTCCATATTAGGGGAAAAAGTAGTCATATATGGTAAAAAATACTTCCGCACTGTACGTAGTAAAAATATTTTCTTCTGTCATGCATGTCATACTCATTTGTAGTTTATAATGATCTTCCTAGCAGTTTTAACCTGTGATCTAAAAGAAAAAATAAGCTTTATGCGTGTTTAAAGGTAAACAAGGGTTAAATAGTTATCTTCAGCACCAGAGATCTCCTCTATTGATTATCCAGGGGTCTGTGTTTTATATAACCCATTCGAACTTTCTTTTATTTGTAGATTTTCTGATATCGATCATTGCATGTTATCTTCACCTACTACATTAAGTATACAAGGTTTATCAAATGATCCTGTTTGAGCATTGCATGTTTTTTTTTTTAATTATATTAATCATAACAAACGTTTTTACAGTTATTTACTAAAATTTAACATACTTAATCTATTATTTACTGAATTCAAAGCTAAAATCAATTTAAAAAGTAGATAATTGAATTAACAGAAGAGTATAAAGTAGCTTATATTAATAAAATAATCAAAGACAAATCGGTTTTTTACTCACTTGTTGAATACAAATTAAATGTTGTGCATACTTCAGAGAATTACAATTGAAAAATATTTTGTGTTCAAATGCGCCGTCTGAGTTATGAAAAATATTAAAAGTTACAATCTTAGGGTGATTAGCTATATGTTTATTTCTGGCATTAAAGAAAGAATCCACAAAAAAAAAAATTAAAAAAAAATACAAATAATAAGAAAAATCGACAAATACAAGCAAATACATTTGATATATACAAGGCGTTTGGAGTAAACATAGGTGTGAATGCAAATGTTCCATCCGTAACATGTTCACATGTCACAAACACTTAGTCTTGGTATACCTCTTCAAACCTCACAGTGCATTCATTCTTCAAGCTCGATATCTGATAATAAAATCTTCATTATCACAACAAACTTCTCATATGTGCCCTAATTGTGTGCACATTTTTAAAAGTACAAGAAATTGGATAAAGCTTCATAAAAAAGATTGTTTGCTGAATTGTAGATTTCAAATGATTAGCGTTAATTCATAGACTAATCGAAAGTACCCATCAATGTGCTTCCTTTATTATACCCGCACTTTCTAAAGAAAGTTCGGGTATATTGTTGTTACTCATGTCCGTCCGTCCGTCCGTCCGTCTGTCACACTTTTCTTCCCTGAACTCCTCTTACATTTTACACAGTAGCCAAATCATCTTTGGGGAGATGGTTGGTGGTGTCATGTAGATGTGCAGTAAAGTTTCGGAATTTTGATTTTGCCCGAGGGGGTCAAATGGGGGTCGAAAAATGATGTTTTTTATGCAAAAAGCCCCGTCTTCCCTGAACTCCTCTTACATTTTACACAGTAGCCTAATCATCTTTGGGGAGATGGTTGGTGGTGTCATGTAGATGTGCAGTAAGGTTTCGGAATTTTGATTTTGCCCGAGGGGGTCAAATGGGGGTCGAAAAATGACGTTTTTTATGCAAAAAGCCCCGTCTTCCCTGAACTCCTCTTACATTTTACACAGTAGCCTAATCATCTTTGGGGAGATGGTTAGTGGTGTCATGTAGATGTGCAATAAGGTTTTGGAATTTTAATTTGCCCCAGGGGGTCAAATGGGGGTCAAAAAATGATGTTTTTTATGCAAAAAGCCCCGTCTTCCCTGAACTCCTCTTACATTTTACACAGTAGGCTAATCATCTTTTTGGAGATGGTTGATGGTGTCATGTAGATGTGCAGTAAGGTTTTGGAATGTTGATTTTGCCCCAGGGGGTCAAATGAGGGTCGAAAAATGATGTTTTTTAATGCAAGAAGCCCCGTTTTCCCTGACCTCCTCTTACATTTGACTCAGTAGCCTAATTATCTTTTAGGAGATGGTTGGTGTTGTCATGTAGATGTGCAGTAAGGTTTCGGAATTTTCATTTTGCCCGAGGGGTCAAATGGGGGTAGATTTTTTTTTTTTTTTTTAAATATTTAATATTTTTAATCACCCTGCATTCTAGAACTTCCCTAATATTTTATGTATTAGCTTTAAACCATGATCATTTGGAAAATGATTGGTTTGTTTTGTGGATGTGTAAAATGGTTTCAAAATTTGCTTTTTCATGTGGATGGCAAAAAGGGGCAGGAAAAAATGGCCCCTGCCTAACCCAGGGGGTCATGATTTGTAAAACTAGAATCTACACCTTGAGAATTTTTCCATATTAATCATGCTCTTATTGTTCTTGAAAAGGAGAATTTTGAAGATTTGTTTCCTTTTATTCCTCAATAAAACTTTGATCCCTAATTGTGGCTTGACCTAGCCTTTGAGGTTATGATTTGAAAAACTAGAAATATGTCTTTAGGACATGAATGTCCCACTGGATGTATACTACTCATGCTACAGGAAAATTTGTATTACACCCATTCTCAATATAAGGGCACAAATAATGTCGCCTCATTTTCATTTAAAAGAAATACCACTGATGTAATTTTTAAATCAACATTATAAATAGTCATATAACAATGAATAAGAATTCATATAATTATCGATCTGAAAGGGTATTTAAGGAGTTCCAAATTCAAATATAGTAGCCTATTTGAAATGTACGTTACTGTCGCCGAGGCAAATATTATTCTGAATCCCCTCTGTGTAATATATAGTTTTGATTCTCAAGTTAAAATTTTCTGATTAGTTAAACCTTGTATCATATATATTTCTTTTCATAACAATAAATACATTTTCTTTGTGATAATAAATAATTTATATTGTGCAATGTCCCTGTCGCTTAATTCTATTTCAACCACATTACAAGCAAACACAAAGATTATACACCTGATAGTTTTGTTCTCCT